ATTTTATTTGTTTCTACTGGATCCTGAAGCCCATGTGCAGCATTTGTTTGTAATGAGGGTTTTGAAATGTTTCTAGCAGAACCCTCCATATCCACTAATCTGGTGATAAGCTTGTGACATAATTATTTGCCTCATCACTCTTGTGAGTACCTTCCACTGAAGCATGTTTGGTCGGTGAATAGAATTTACTTGATGGGTTCTATAGATGCTTGATCATCAAGACATTTTAAGGGGGGAGAAACTGTTGTCTCGCCACTTTTTGTTATAACGGGGCTTTAGAAGGGGCTATTTCTGTTTCCAGTTCAGGAGTGGTTGAAACTCCTATTCCACTTAGTTATATGAAGCAAAATAATCGACTTCATTTATCATTACGATGACCTTAGAATCCATTTAATTTGTAGTTACCAGGTAACAAAATGAGTGGCAAAAGCTTTGGCTTTCACCAATTCGCACCACTTATGGTACAGAAGAAATATAAAACTACTCATTAAGAGTCAGACGTACTTAACAACGATACATTTTATTGGTATATTCTAATTAAATGTGGGTTATCTGTGAAGACTGCAAACATTTGATCATGGTCACTTTCTTAGTATTGCCTGTGTTTAGAGAAATCACTACGTAAGCAGTGTAGAAGTTAAACTTCTAGTCTTAGGTAAGTCAATCAGGGAGATTAGATACTTTTGGCCTTACCATGCATTACACACACTGCTTATCATCTACTTCGATTCATTTTGTCAGCTAATGTAAGATAAGATTAAAAAGCAAAAAAAAGTTGTTCAGACAGGTATTTTATCAAAATGAAAGATTACGAACGAATGGCTCGAGCCATTTGGGGAAGGAAAAATCGTCTCATTATAGTTCAAGGGACCACTAGGGCATGCAGTTCGAAATACTAGATAGTGAGTTCGGAATCGAACTCATTGTCGAAAATGCGTTGGTGCTTAATTTTCATCGGCGTCGTATTTTCTGATTTGTCTAGGAATATTTTAACTTAATGTACTACTTTAATAATAGAATTGTCTATCTGAAAAACAGTATATTTTCGTGAATGTATACCCCATTATGCACTTGACAGTAAGCCACATGTGTTGTGTCAAAAAGCAGCCTAAATCTCTCTGGGCGAAATAGTCCAAACACTTTAACTACTTCTCAAAAGTTGGTTGCCTGTGCTAACAAGATGTAGTTTCACAACTCAGTGACTAATTCACATGCACAAAGTTCATTTATGACTTGTTAAACAAAACTAGTTGATTTTTTAGTTTTTCTTTCGTATGGTTACTCCACAGTTGCCCGATCGATATTTGCTACATTGGTATGTAGTGGTCAAGTTTAACATATCTCAAAGACCTGACAAAACATTCTATCTGGGTAGAGTGTTCCTGAAGGTTACTCATGTTATGGTTTGAGGGCGAAGCTGCACAGCTGGCAAATAGGGGTTTTGAAAGTAGAAAGGTGTTCTGATTGGACGACCTACAAGTCATTTATTTTCTCCCCTTCTGTTCTAGAAAACAGGGGTTGAGGAATGTTGACCCCGAAAATTGTACATCATAATTTACCCCACGGTGGTTAATAGCCAGCTGCAGGGTCTTTGTAAAAACGCAACTCCAAGAACTCCATTTCCCAACAGGTAGTGTGTGACGAGCCATAGGCGGTTTTAGGTAGTCGGGAAGTAGCAACTATCCACACATTTCCATCAGCATATGAAGGTTTCCTATCCATTATCAATCATGTTACCCTCTCCCACTGTTAATACTACTTCAAAGACAGGTTCTTCACCTTCTCCTATCCCTGGGACTGATAGCGACCTGAGCCAGAGAAACACTGTTCGTAGCCTCTTAAAATCATGCTGCGAACTTCCTATTGGGGCTTTCAACAACCAAACCGTATACCAGGCGACACATCTCACTGAGTAAAACTAGCATTTTGAACTTCGAATGCACCTTTTATCTCAGAGATATTTATACAAAACTCTAGTGTGATTACTCCACCTTAACATGCCTGACAAAACACAGTGAATCTGCTAAAGTTACCCTATGGGTGTTAGGAGAATCTCCGGATAGTTTTTCTGAACCTGCTGGTGTAGGAACAGCATTGAACACTGGAGTAGAAAACTTGTTACTCGATAGAATCCCAGGCAACAGTCGTATATGTGCTTTGTGGCTAAATAAATCTGTTATAAAATAAGTAGGGTTCGTGTTTCTCACAGATGCCTGTCAATAATCTCAGTTTCCACACCAACTGACTGAAGTCTTGTCGAAGTAAAGGATGGGTTTTTATCAAAAGCTGTCATTTGGTAACTACTACGAGTAAAATACTTCGATAAAGTCATTTTAGCTTAAGTAGAGAAGCTGGGCCAGTTTGAAAAGTAAATTGGAGGTATCTATGGAATCCTGTGCCAACGAACGGACAACGGTGACTGTCTTTTGTGATTGACTGGTAGAGATACTGTCTAGCGGCTGGTGATTTCAAGTTAGTAATAGATAAAAATACTTTACCTAGCTATAAGTTACAAATAGAGTAGGTTGTTAGATAAGATTGCTACTTTTTTGCGCATGGCGACGACTAGAAGGAATGTAAACAACAAGCTATGCGGAGCCAATTTCTGGATGGGAATATGGAGTCTGTATTCAGGGCAAGTGTGACTGGACACATCTGAAATTAGTAGCAATACTCACCCTGGGGAGGCATGGTATCATATCCAGTCTGTTGTGGAAACAACGGTAAGGGTTATTGATAACCTGCAGCTGAAGGTTAGTGAATGACAGCGGATTTTTGCATTTTCACCCGAACTGATAGATGCATGATGACTAATACAAATGGAATCTGAACATGATGGGGAAAAGGTGCTCAAATTTAAGCTAACTGAAACTCTCCATGACAACCGTAAACAGTGTTGGTAAACAAGGAGAGGGATTAGGGAAGTGGGCTGTAAACGAGCTGTAGTGAGATAATCTCCAAGAAAGGTAGGGTTTCAGTAAGTCAACAGTATATAGTGCTAGAACATTGAGTAGAACATTTTGAGGAACAGTTCAACTAGCCTACAGTCGTAATATGCCTGTCAACCCCTAAACATCACTCTGAATAAGACATAAACATCAGTCCTCCAATTGTTTCTTGCGTTTTCACTCCTTGTAATCTACCAGATTCATGGTAACCTCATTATTTCTACTGTGATTATTCTTTCTCCCGTATGTTTTAGTTTTATGTAGTCTCACTGCATATCTTTCCTCTACTTTTGTGTTTTTGCTTTTACGAAGTGTGACTAGTTGTGCCACGTTCTCTATGCTGATAGTTTATTTCCATTCAGTTCATCATGGTTAATCGATACTCCCTATTTCTTATTGTTTTACATATATTGTAGCTACTAAATGATTATTAATGTTTCTCTCAGCAAGCAACTTTCGTTATAGTCATAAGAAGAAGAAGAATCACATCCTAAACTTTAGTTTTGTTATAAATCTGTTTAAACTTAGTTATGAATTACTTCCGAAAAGTGCCCATTAAAATTTTCCAAAAAAATCGTTATTGAACATAGAATATTTTTCGATTGGACATTAGTAACTAGTGTGACGTGTCTAGTCCTTTCTTCTCTTTGGTGCAGACTAAATTCTATCAGTCAAGTTTGCAATGTGGCCACCATTCTAGGTAGCTCGCCATCACGGTGCACATTGATTTGATGATATTAGATAGTTGGAGGCAGTCGGTCACAGGAAGTCTTGCCTGACCTAGGTTTCGTACTAGTTGGCACTCACCAGTCAGTCATCAAGGCGTATCTGCAACTGCCTTGGAGGATCTCATGTCCCTTCTGAGGAGATTCGAACCAGCATCACCCAGTGTGGTGCAGTCAGAGACGTTACCAATGAGCTACTCTAGTGGGGTTGACGCGAGTTCGAAATTCAGAAGGGACATGGGTTGTTCCTTCAAGGTTGCAGATACGCCTTGCTGACTGGTGAGTGCCAAATAGTACGAAACGTAGGTTAGGCAAGGCTTCCTGTGGCCTATTGCCTCTAACTTTCTAATATCATCAAAGAATATTCTTTTCGATAACTTCATCATCAGGTTCTACAGTTATATATCCACCCATAATAGTGAATAAATTAGTGTTGTTAACAACATTAATGTTGTTCAAATAACATCGGATCAATAATAATAAAATCAATGGATTACAGCTCAATAGCATCAACATAACAATACACACTGAATATGAGAATAATTAGGGAAGATAATAATACAAATACAAGTCTCTACTGAAGGCCGGCGGGGGCAGTAGTAGTGGCTGGACATACGTCTTATGCACACAGAGTACTGGTTGTTTCAGGCGAATTGCGATAGCCTCTGCTGGCTGGAGCATGTGGTACCTCGATATTTTTGGCAGTTTATTTGTTACCCAATAGATGATGATATAGAAGGATTCTTCAATGCTGGGTTTGTGGCCGTTTTGTACCAGATGGTCTAATATCGAACTATTGATGGTTTCTACTACACCTTTACTTAGCCATACTGGGAGATGTTCCCGAGCAAGCACGAAAAACCAAGAGCAGCGGCCAATATAAATCGCTCCACTACAAGTGCAGCTGAATTGGTAGATACAATTAGAAGTGGTTAGTCTAGGTACTTCATCTTTCAATCGAGTAATCACCATTGGTCATATAAAAAATAAGACATGTAGTTTGTCAGCATTCAGCTTATTGTTATGTTGATGCTACTGAACTGTAATCAGTTGATATTATTGATTCGATGTTATTCATTTGTTAATAACACTTATTCATTTACTATTATGTATATGTATAACTGTAGAACCTGATGAAGAGCAGGTTATCATAAAGAATATTCTTTGTTCAGTAACCATTCTTTTGAATATTGTTTCAAAAGTTCCTATTGCACACACAAAAATACACAACATGTAATGATGTACCACTCTTATGATTTCTTCTTTTGCACTTCTCATTCGTCTAATTGTAGAATATCTTATCAGTATTTGCTAAATAGTGCATGTTATGGGGACACAAGTAGACTGTGGTGAAAATTCTTTCTGGAGTTCGTTGGACCCAAGTAAAAGTGGTTCGTCTTTACTAAAGTAAGTCGAATTTTTAATTTTATACCTTTGGCTTCCTATGAGATATACTGTGCGTCGGTGACACATCGGTAGGACGCTCTCCAACTACGCCTCATGTGGTCCAGGGTTCGACTCCCGGCCACCGACGCACTCCTTTACCTTGCTAAGCCAGTAATAAAAGTGGTAGAGAGAGAAGGTTGGGCACGAGGCCAGCAATCCTATCCTGTAAAAATAAATACCACTGCTACCGAAACTTCAAGCCTTTAGCTTGAAGGCGCCCTATGTTGCACTGGGAATGTAAAGGAATTAAAAAATCCATGAGATATCCATAATTGTAACCTAATTAACCTGTAGCTTTCTAAATCACCTCAGATCATTTAGTGTCTCGACTTGTTCGATTCTTTTATTTGATTTCGTTGACTTCGACCCACTTACTTTAGTAAAGGTCAAGAAAAAGCTCAATATATGTGTAGAACTTGGGCACTGTGGTAGGAAGTAATTCCATATTAGTTTATTTATTAGATGTATCACACAGTGAAACAGTATTGTTTACTGGATGACGTTTCAAACACAATTTATTGTTCATAATCATATCAATTGTAATCACACGACTTTGAAGCTTGAGTTCTATAGTTTTATTTGTCTTCACCTATTTGTCGTCGTCGGGGTAGTAGAATTTTCCAGATACCTGGGACAGGTCTTGAATCATTCCTATTACACGTATTTGCAGTTAATTCGATAAAGCTTCTGTTATCAATCTCTCCCTATAACCTGTGACATTAGATTTGAAAACTTTCATCCTATCCCATCCTATTGCATGGTTGTGTGTAACTGCATGTAGTGCTATAGCTGAACTATTCTCTAGATTTCTTATCTTATTCGGGTCAACCATTCGAGATTTTGCTAGGTTTTTGTGTTCAGCTAGTCTGACTGCCCCTGTTCTACTAGTTTGACCTATGTATTTGACCTGACAATCATTACAGGGTATTAGATAAATTGTTTTGTTTTAAAGGCTCCACAGGAATGATCCTTTAACCGACAAAGAAAGTTTCCAATTGAGTTTGTGGGTTTGTTTGCTTAATAATGCTTTGAATGGTTAACAAATTGAAAAGTTTCGAGGCTTTCAACCTAGACAATCTGTCTTCGTCCTCTTTCCGTGTGTGCATATAAGGTTTCGGTCCATTATAGTAAGTCGAATGTTGCATCCTTCGGAACTAAAGTGTTTGATTGACAACTGTTAAATTCATACCACATAGTATAATGTCTGCAATAACTGAAAAATAGCGAAAGATCTACAGTAGCCCAAATTTTATTTGAATTTATGGAAAGTGGACCATGTTGTGTCAATCTTTCAAACACATTGGTATGTCATAAAAGTCAGAATTAATATATGTGTAAAACTTGGGCACTGTGGTAGTAAGTAATTCCATATTAGTTTATTTATTTGATATATCACACAGTGAAACAGTATCATTTATTATTTTTTATTATTATTATTATTATCCAGTAAATAATACTGTTTCACTGTGTGATATATCAAATAAATAAACTAATATGGAATTACTTACTACCACAGTGCCCAAGTTTTACACATATATTAATATGACTTATGGTCTTCCTGTACGAAGACTTATCAATAAACTCACTCGACTTTCACAAACTGAAGCAAGATTTGAAAATCATCGTATTTTCAACATTCGATGCCTGAGAAATGAAATCATTCCTAAATATCTACGTCTACGAGCTCCAGTTCCAACGGACAGAGTTAGAAGCAGAATACAAGGTCTACAAAAATTATGCCTGAAAGAAGAGATCTACAGAATCGTTAAAAAAATTGCAACATATCAGATCTGAAATTGAGCAATTAAAACAAAAGCTAAAAGGAACACAATCCTCCAGTAATGCAAAATCAGCAACTTTCAAAAAGTCAAAAAATAGTCAAATCAAAAAGTTCAACAAATTATTAGAAGAGAAATCTTCATCTCAGAATGATGAAGTCAACAATCCAAAGTCAACGGCGATCGATAAATCAAAGTGGGTTATCAATCTCTCAACACATATATTAAGTCCTACGGAAATAAGTGTATTAGAAAAGGGACTAAATTTCAATGTATCAGTAGACAAACTGAAACCTGAAGATGTCATCCCTAAAATAGAAATAGCACTAAGTGGGATAGACAAAACCACGGCTGATGAAATACGAGCACAGTGTGCACTAACATTAAAACGACAAAAATGTGGAAAACCCAACCTGACAAAACAAGAAATAGAAGCCCTGAAACACCTTAAGAATAACAAGGATATAGTTATCACAAAGTCAGACAAAGGAAATGCAACAGTAGTATTAGACAAATCAGACTATTTGGACAAGGTGAATACTCACATACAAACAGGACCATATGTGGAAATTAATAAACCAATAGATACAGTTATGAATAAAGTTAAGAAATCCACAGCGGACCTTATACGCCGAATGAAGCCGTTTCTAGGTGAGTCTAAGTGGTTTAATTTGATGCCAAAAACTAATAACCCCAGTAGGATGTATGGTGTTGTTAAAGTTCATAAGTCAGGATACCCCATTAGGCCTATAGTTGATTTTAGAAATTCACCTACATATGAATTATCTAAATATTTAGCCATGATATTAAATCCCCTTAAAAGATACTCAAAATCTAGACTAACAAATTCTTATGAATTGAAACATAGATTAGATAATTTAAAATTAGATAATGTAGAAAAAATGGTTAGTTTTGACATTGTCAGTTTATACACACGTATACCAATAAATATGGCTATGGAGGCAGTCAGAAACGAACTCATTTCTGACCAAGAACTCGAACTTAGGACAAAAGTGCCACTTGAGGACATAATGCTGGGAGTACAGCTATGCCTGACTTCCACAGTATTTAAATTTCAAGGGAAAATATACAAACAAACTGAAGGAGTTGCCATGGGATCACCAATATCCCCAGTTGTAGCAGATATATTCATGGATAAGTGGGAGAACATAGCGATTGAAACGTTCACCCCCACCCCAAAAGTATGGTGGAGGTATGTCGATGACACATTCCCTGTACTTAAAACACAAGATATAGATAGGTTTTTCGAACACATCAACTCGAAGGTGGAAGCAATTCAATTCACTTATGAATTGGAAAATCAGGAAGGGGAGCTCCCAATGTTAGATTGCAACGTAAAGAGGAAAGAAGATGGGAAGGTAAACACTAGTGTTTACAGGAAACCCACACACTCAAACAGATATTTAGACTTCCGATCGTCCCATCCTATGTCAGTAAAAATAGGATTGGTGAAATGTTTAAATGACAGAGCACAAAAACTAAGTAGTACCAAAGAAAATCTAAAACAGGAACTGATACACATAAAAGAAGCTTTGAAACTTAATAATTACCCGGATAAATTAATCAAGAAATATGTAAGGAAATGTAAAAATAAAATAAATAATGATAGTAGCGATAGTGATAATAATAATAATGTTAATAATAATAGTGATAATAATAATATTAATGACGACACCAATAATAAGAAATCTAAATCATCAGTAGTAATTCCATACAAGGAAGGAACCTCGGAAGCCTTACGCAGAATTCTTAACAAGGCAGGAAAAAAGTGACTTGCATTCAAACCCACAAACTCAATTAGAAACAAGCTTTGTCGGTTAAAGGATCCTGTAGAGCCCTTAAAACAAAACAATTTAGTTTATCTAATACCCTGTAATGATTGTCAGGTCAAATACATAGGTCAAACTAGTAGAACAGGGGCAGTCAGACTAGCTGAACACAAAAACCTAGCAAAATCTCGAATGGTTGACCCGAATAAGATAAGAAATCTAGAGAATAGTTCAGCTATAGCACTACATGCAGTTACACACAACCATGCAATAGGATGGGATAGGATGAAAGTTTTCAAATCTAATGTCACAGGTTATAGGGAGAGATTGATAACAGAAGCTTTGTTTATCGAATCAACTACAAATACATGCAATAGGAATGATTCATCACCTGTCCCCGATATCTGGAAAATTCTACTACCCAAACGACAAATAGGAGAGAACAAAGAAAACTATAAAACTCAAGTGTCAAAGTCGTGTGATTATAATTGATATGATTATGAACAATAAATTTTGTTCGAAACGTCATCCAGTAAATAATACTGTTTCACTGTGTGATATATCAAATAAACAAACTAATATGGAATAAAAGTCAGAAGTTAGGACATTTTTTAAAATCACAGTTTAAGTGAATTAGTTATTTAGCTATTTTCAGTTGCTTTTAATCTATGAATTCTAAAGCGGTAATTCTCCTGTATATCGGTAAATTTCGTCTTCACCTTCCAGTCAAACGATAAACTCAAACTTATTGAAAAAAAGGCGTTCAGCGAAGAGTTACTCCTCTTTTCGGCGATATCATTCTCAAACTGTACAATCGTATATGTATATATTGTAAATTTTCCTGGCAACAAAGAGAATATTTCCAAAGATCTATCATTAGAATTGTGAATTTTAGATAACTAATTACGCAGTGTAGAAAGCGTTATTATTATTGTTTTCTTTAATTCCTAGAGGAACATAGGGCTTCAGCCGTGCGTCTCCATTGCGTTCGGTTCTCTGCTAGAGTCTTCACCTGGCTCCAAGTCTGCCCACATGTTCTCATCTCCTCTTCACATGACCTCCTCCAAATCACCCTCACACTGACGACCAACTCGCCGCTTCCCTTTCGGGTTCCACTTGAGCAATGGCTTGTCTAGTGAGGTCACTTGATGGTTTCCTCAGAGTATGGCGGCCAATCCATCTCCATTTCTTCCTGCCTATTTGTTTCACAATCGGTTCCTGGTTGGTTCGCTCATTGCCAGAAATCTCTGTTGCTGATCTTTTCTAGCCATCTGATCTTGAGTATTGAGCGAAGACAACTGTTAATGAAGGTCTGTAGTTTGTTCGAAGTGCTCTTCGTGACGAGTTGGCCAAGTCTCTGATCCGTATAGTAGCACTGACTTCACATTGGAGT